TTGCTCATAAAAGAAGAAACAAGCTCAGCACTTGAGCAAGAATATTATAGCCCAGTCTCCAATGATCTTCTCCTCATTTGGGGCTTAAAGGACACATTGTATTATTTAATTTCTCTCAAATAGCTGAATTGCAACCCTGTATCCCCAAAATGTCAGGATATATTTTTCTGTTCAGGTCATATAGCACAATAAAATCAGTGGCAACTCCTCCCCAACTCAGTGTATATTCAAGTATAGTTTGTATTGGCAAATGTAGCTTCTTTTTTAATTGTGGATTTTAAATTGGACATAACCTGGGGGAAATATCTGGTAAATACTATGTGTAATGTGATACTCCCAAATACCAGTTTGTGCTGAACCTAAAGCCTCTTTCACTTCCCTTTGACCTCAATCTTAATTCTTTATCTTTTTTTTCATCGTCCACCTACCAAGTCCATCCCAACTGCTAATGCTTGTCAGCTGGTCTTTCTGATTAAAGCTTTCAAACCTATGAAATTTTGAAGTGCTTTGACTTCATAGTATATGAAATGCTATCCTGAGGAGTACATTGAAAAATAATAAAGCTGTCCAAAAGTGGAACAGATTGACAAGTGGGGACATTTTGTCCTCAATTTGGGACAAATTATGAATAGTTGAAGGTAATCAGCAAAATAAGGGTTAATGGTTACTCCAAGAACTCCAATAGTTTCAATCTCCAAATGTTAAGCTATTTGAGTTTCTTACCTCCCTACTCAGTTTTCTAAACATTGACCTTGTAGCTTTTCTTTAACTTTTGACAATTTAATTATAATGTATCTTGGTGTGGGTCTCTTTGAGTTCATCTTCTTTGGAACTCCTTCGGTTTCCTGGATCTATATGTTTCTTTCCTGCGGATAAAGTGAGGGTTCCCATGGCCAGGATTCTCACCTGGCCCTGGTTGACTAGCTCACTACACACATGTGGGCAATACATTGTTATTGACTCTATCTAAAGAGCCCTTCCCAGTGCTCTAAGAGACATGGTGGCACAGCTGCAAGGCTGCAGGAGAACAGAGATGAGACTGGAGTGGTGGCAGTGCTGAGGACAGAGACTGAGATGGCTGTGGGGGCAGAGAGGCCCAGAAGCAGGGACCAGCTTGCTGCATTCAGACTCACTCTGAGTGGATGGGATTCTAGTGGTTGACCTGCCACTGTGGAAATAAAGTTGGGTATGACCCTTTCACCCCAAGAATATTTTACTGTCATTTCCTTGGTCACATTGAATCCAGAGTGAACTTGCTTGGGGCTGAAACCCATTGGCAAGACACCTCCCCAGGTTAGGGAAGTTTTCAGCCAATATTTCTTCAAATAAGTCTTCTGTCTCTTTCTCTCTCCCTCCTCCTCTAGGACTCCTATAATGCAAATATTGGTCCCATTAGTCCTTTAAGCTAGCTTCACTCTTTTTCACTTTTTTCTCTTTTTTGCTCTGTTTGGGTGAGTTCCTCTGCCTTGTCTTTGAGGTCTCTGATCATTTTTTCCACTGCTTCTCATCTGTTGTTGGACCCCTCTGTTGTCTTTTTTCAGTTTAGATATTGTGTTCTTCAGTTCTGTGACTTGTTTGATACTTTCTTTTACTTTCTTTCTCTTTGTTGGAAGTTTTCACTTTGTTCATGCATAGTCCCCTTACCTTGGTTAGCATTTAATGACTATTATTTTGAACTCTTTATCAGGTAAATAACATATCTTTGTTTCATTAGGTATTTTTCTGATGTTTTATAGTTTTTTAATTTGAAATTTATTACTTTATTTATTCATTTTCCTGAATGTGTTAGTTTCTACACATTAGATAAAACCACCACCTCTCCTAGTCTTGAAGGGTTGGTTTCATGTAGGAGACAAACCTTGTTCAACCATGCTCTAGTTCTTGGTTGTCTCTTAAGACTTTGTGATTTTCCAAGCAGCCCACTTTGTTCTCAGTGGCTTCCAGTAGTTGAGACCTGTCAGTGTTTGTGGGGAAAGTTGGGGTTCCTATGGCCAGGATCTTCACCTGAACCTAAACCATTTGATAATGTAATTGGCCTGCTACTAGGCTAATGCTTCCACACCCATAGGCAATAAGCTATTATTGACTGAGTCACTATATAAAGAGCTCTGCCTAGTGCTCTGGGGCAGAGGCAGAGATGAAGGAGGATTATAGACCTGCAGACTGTTGGATGCAGAATGTAATTCTAGTGCTCGACCTATTGCTGGGAGAACAAGCTGGGTAATAAACCCTTTTACTCCAAGAATGTTCCATTGTCATTCCTTAGAGTCACTGAATCCATAGTCAACTTGCCCGGGACTGAAAACCATTGGTAAGACAGTGTTCCAACAGGGAGGATCTCAGACAGCACCTAGATTCAGGCTGATTGGAAGCCATATCCTCAGGCAGCAACTTTTTTGAAGGACAAAAATATACTTCTTCAGAAGACTGGGAGATGTGCACTTGTGGATAAAATGAAGGTTCCTGTGACCAGGATTCTCACGTGGCCCTGGTTGGCTAGCTCATTACACATGTGTGGGCAATGTGTCCTTATTGACTCTATATAAAGAGCCCTGCCCAGTGCTCTGTGAGACACAGCACGGCTGCAGGAGAGCAGAGCAGAGGATAGAGGCCCAGAGGATGGATGTGCGGGTAGTGAGGCCCAGAGGCAGACACCGGCTCGCTGCATGCAGACTCACTCTGAGTGAATGGGATTTTAGTGATTGACCTGCCACCATGGGAATAAAGTTGGGTATAACCCTTTCACCCCAAGAATGTTTTACTGTCATTTCTTGGTTACATTGAATCCATAGTGAACTTGCTTGGGGCTGAAACCCATTGGCATGACAGCACTTCTACTTCCTCTGTACTGAGCCCTGGTGTGCTAGCCAGTTAAGAACTATTTCCTTGTTTGCTACCATCCTGTTGAGTCTATGAACACAAGCTCTGCTGGGCCCAGAGCCAGGGATGTGTCCTCTATATGGCAGCCATAAAAGCTGGCATACCAGACATGTGCACAAGCTCTTCTTGGAGATGCCAGTGACCTAGGGCAGCCGTAGAGGGAGAATGCAAAGATGGTGCCTTGCTGGCCTACCTCTGAGAATTGCAGTCAGCCCCTAGATATGTGTTTAGTTAGAAGCCTGCCCTTCAGGCTGCAGCTATAAAGATAAACCAATAGGCCTTTATGGAAAGACAGGGTGTTTCTGCCAGCTGGCTCAGCAGCATGCCTTGAAGTGGCTGTAGCTGGTAAGAACTGTTTCTCCATTTGTTCTTGTCCTGTGGGATGTACCAAGATAAGCTCTGCTGACCACTAAAGCCAGGTGATCAGAGTGCGCCCCCTGGATGGAGTCATTAAAACTGGAGCCCCAGACATCTGTACAACCTCCTTCCTGGTAGATACTAGGAACTTGGAGTGAGGCAGAGGGAGAGCACAAAGATGGCAGCCTGCTGCCTCTGTTGTTGGGGCATTTCAGTGGCCCCTAAGTATGTGTTAAATGAGATGCCTGATCCTCAAGCTTTTAAGATAACCAATCGGCCTCTTCCACAGAAAGACTGGGCACGTTTCAGTTCAACAGCCTTGGTGGGTTCACGGTGTGAGTCCATCAGGGATGACCCTTTTAAGATCTGTTGTTCCTCAATTTGCTATAGCCTTGTAGTCTTGTGGACGCAAGCTCCGTTGGCTTTTGAAACTAGATGTCTTGGGGGTCTGTCTCTCAGGTGCAGATCTTAAAAACTAGGGCACCAGATGTGGGGTTCAAACCCTTTGCTCCTCAGGGAAAGCTAGGATTGGGAGTTCCCTCCCAACTGTGGGTTGCTGCACTAGGGGTGAGGTTTATGGTGAGATTGTGTCTCAGCCTCTCCTACCCATTTCGACGTGGGCATTTTTTTTTTCATCCATCTGGGGAGTAGTATTGCTTAGTTAGTTTTTGGATTTATTTAGAGGAGATTGTTCTGTAGGTTCAGTTTGTCTCCAGGAGGTGATTTCAGGATCTTCCTATGCTGCCATCTTGAATGAGAACCCTGTAGCTCTTCTTTCTTTGATTCAAAACATTAACAAGCCATCCAAAAGATTGCCAAGTATGAGTTCTGAAGGGCTGGAAAAAGAATTTCCCTACTCCTCCTCTCCTCTGTTCATCATCCAGCACTGCACCTATGCATAATTGGCATTCAATGAAGGTTGTTGAAAGGAAGAGTCAGTCTGAGATTTGTACCTCAAGAGGGGACATTTAGGTTGGCAGGCTTACACTGATGCTGCGTCTGAGTTCTTTTGGGGACAGACACCTACAAACAGGTGTGCTGTAGTCTTGAGAACCCTTAAAACATCACAGATTCAAAGCAGAAAAAAATAATTCTGGGTTCTTGGACTGCTATTTGCTGAATTCACCCAGCACTGTGCAATGCCATCATAGAAGCTGAGGTGTGTACAGGATGTTCTTTCCTTCACTACTGGGCCTGTGATTGTTGATATGCCTACCTCTGGCCTTTGCAAATGTATAATTGGAACACATATGCTCCCATCTTCACTAGTCAAATGTCTATTCATCTGTTAGGTTTCAACAAAGATTTCACTTGCACATGGGGCCTTTCTCGATCCCTTGCTCTAAATGGAATTCTTCCTCTATACTTTCTCAGGCCATGCTTTACCTTCAGTGCTTGCCACATTTGGTAACTAGATACCTGAACATCATGGGTACTGTGTTCTGCCCCCAGCCCGCAGCCTGTGGGAGTGCCGGAGCAGCTGTACTCACAGCATGGAGTGCACTGCCTGTACACTGCAGGGGCTCCATACAGATCTGCTCTTGGGGGATGGGCAGATGTGTTTTTCTTTAGATGAGTGGTTTGACTTGGGGCTGCTGTCTAAACTCCATTTAAGGGTAGTGAAGGTTGAAATATGAAATTTCCCACCAACAGGAAATGAAGTTTTATCTTTTCTTAGCGACATAAATGTGTAGGGGAGCTAAAGAGAGAACCTATGTGGGTTACAACTTGAGATCTGGCATATATGGTATAAAGAATAGTTCTTTAAATTTATGTTATGAAATTTATTCCCAATTTGAAGAGGCAGTGTATACAAAGATAACAGAGCTTGTGATAATTTACAGAAATGTTTGCTACAACATGCACATTACAAAGTGTTTCAAACATATACATACTAAGTTTCATGCTGAATAAATAATCCCTCCAAATTTTTATTTTTACATAAAAATATAATATTGCACTCTTAACAAGACCAGTTATTTTGCATGTTTTCTCTTTAGATAAATGATGAAATTCAGCCTAAAAAAAAAAAGATTGAGTAGCAACCCTATTCTAATAGGGAACTAATTGAAAGTTCTCAGTATAAAAATGAGAGTTAGACAATAGCTGCAATTATTGTTTTAATAGAGCAAATCACTTCAACGTGAATAGGAATAATCTCATCTCTGCACTTATTTGGACTTCAGAATTAATAGCTGATTTGTGCAGACCATGATCTAAATGCAGCCTGTGAATTGTTCTGACATATGTATGCAGTATGAAGTTACAAGTATATGGGACCACTTGCTTCCTACTGTATTTGTCTTGACAGCAGATACTTTGGAATTGTATTTTATACCGTTTTTGAGCAGAATGTTTTAGAAAGTCTGGAAGTTACAAAAGTAGGTTTGTAAACACCATACAAATGAAATTTCTGTAACAAACACGCAAGTTATTCTTAGGCAGGAATACATATTTTTCTCCCGTGGTAACATATGACTCAGCTATTGTACAGTGTTTCCAAAGCCAATGAAGCAGCAGTCCATGTAACAACAGAGCTGTAACATCATGGTAGACAGACTATCCCAGGACTGAGGGATTCTGTCTTACGGTGTAAGTTTGCTGTGGTGTACACTTAGAATTTCTATTGTTGCTAGATTTCTCAGGCTATATGGGTTAGTAAAAACAGTGGAAACTGCTTCCTAAAAGAATTATTCTGCCTTCTGTTTTAAACAAAGTAAATGGTCTCTTTTCTTTTTGTAATTCTGTTTTGGGGAAGAAGGCTCCTCCTGCACATTAGATTAAAAGCCTTATCTAGACTGTATTATTAATATCTGTGCAAACTTTTTGCATAGTGGAGGCTTCCTATTGCAAATTGTTAAGCATTCAATGCTCTGTAAATGAGAGATATTAAAAGAATTATTGTATTTAAATCTTCATGACTCAAGTAAGGATATTTAATATTTAGTGTCATGGATTTTAAGTTGTATTTTTTATGAAGAAATAGAGTATGTATGAAATCAATGATACCTGTTTCTTGATTATGACTATCAAAAAATTCTAGTTCTACTTTGAGCTGAGAAGGCAACTGTTAAAAACAGCCTAACACTGAGATTTCTTCATAGTCTGCGTTTAGTATTCAGATATTCCATAAGCCGTTTGGTGCAGAAGCACCTACTGAATAATTTACTTCTCAATGAAAGCAATGATCAAGCCCTGAATTTTTATCTTTTCTTTTCCTTTTCTGTGGGAGAAGGGACTATCGTGGCACAGAACTTCTTAAATATAATTTTTAGAGTATTTTACATAAACAATTAACTAACCAATTAAAAAATTCTACTGGCTCTTTAAAAATAACAGAAAAAGGAGACACCCTAATCTTTTCTTTAGAATACTCTTGTAGAAAAACCTTTGAGAATATTATTTTCAATTTACCACGAAGACTTAAATCCTGTTAGTGCATACTGACATGATCCTCCAGATTATCAATAAATTAGGAGAAGACTTTCCTCTCAGGAACTTGTGAGGCTGCTGACTCGTGTGCAGTGAACAGATTTTATCGGTATTTGGATGGTTTGTTTGGTCATCCATTTCTTCAGGTTCAGCCTCCTAAAACTGATGAAGTCCACGATCTGGTTAGGAGTTAAAGTGCTTTGGAGAATGAGAAGTCCTCTCTCATTCACCCAGCTGCATAGCTGCTAAGGAAGGAATAGAACATTGGCTGTTTCAGGCGCTGCTGGTCCTTGCGACACCAGGCAATCACGGTCCCATCACTGTTTGCCGTGTACAAATGGTGGCCGTCACAGGAAAATGTAAGGCTGTAGAAAAAAATTCCCATTTGGATATTATACCTCTTAAAATTGCATTAGCATATTAGTGATTGTATATAAATTAGTATAAAAATGTTATCTGGAGTGGAGAGACAAATGAAATGATTGCCTACAACCCACCAATTTTAACTGTAAGTCTAATATAGTTTAGTCACTCTGTGGGCAAGTTAGTGAAACTCAGGTGACCAAGTGATACAGAATAAAATCAGGGTCAGAGAGATCAACACTTTCTCTTCCTTGGCATATTTTCTTTTTCCTTTTGTTTATGCCTTGTTACTTCAGTGACAAATATTTGGGTGTAGGAAACTTTAGAAAATATAACAGCACTAAATTTTCTGTTTATAGAAATAAATGATGATGATTTTATGGAGGTATTTTACTTCCCTGAAAGAGGAAAGGGTAAAAATGTAACATCAATGAGTAATTTAGGTTCAATAAACTTTACATTTAGTACATTGAAAACAGTTTCATTTCAATAAAGTAGAATTTGAATGAATTACTTCCAATTGAGTTTTCAAAGTCAAATCTGTTAACAGGGTGAAGGGTAGCTGGCTGTTTGCCCATCTGTGAAGAAAGCCCCCACAGCTACCAGTCAACATAATGGTTTTTCAGTAAGTTAGGAAATGAATACAGCTCCTGCAGTTCCAGAGGCCTTCCCTGGGCTCTGTCTCAGCAGGTGAGACTGTGTGTTCCTGACTCAGATTTTAAGCACAATGAAGACAAGGAAGGTGCCCCCCTTGCCACTGGGTCCTGGACAACCTCGAGTCAGATAAATAGTTGGCTGTTTGTATTGACTTCCATCACATATTTCTTTAGGTCTGTGCTTTAATAGCTCTAACAAAAACACAAAGTATATTACCAAGAATTGGGCATGTGGAGAATTTTACCTTACAATAGGCTTATTTGATTTAGGAAATGTAATTTCCCGCACAGGCTTTAGGTCCCATGTACTCCATAACCTAGAGAGCAGAAAAAAGACATCACCTAATTATGCAAACTAGAATCTCCTTCACTACAAACACCTACATTTTTGTTTATTTGTTAAAAATCACCTGAAAGAAAACATAATAAATGATTAATAGTTACTTCTAGGAAGTTTACAGTGTGTTGATGTGAGAGTATGAAAAATTAACTTTGTATATTTTCATAGTCTTAATCTTTCATAGTTAACAAACAATACAAAATTTTAAAACCACACTAAAGCTATCTTTATTGTTAATAAACGAGCATAGCTAAAGAACAAGAACCTATATCTGAAGGTGATTATAAATCTCTAAATATTAAATATTAGTATGTCTAGATATTAAAACTAATTTTTGAAATAACTGTATCCTTATGAAAAACAGAAAGCAGAGTCAGAACTGCTCTTACCTTACAATTCCATTTTCTAATCCCCCAGCAATTACATTGATGGATATTCCTTCAGGTTGGTTAGAGAAAGCCACAGAACAAATGATCTCTCTGCAGTGGACATGTCCAACAAGGTCCCCGTTCACTGTCCAGAGTCTGAGGTCACTGCCTCCGCCAGCTACAACATCAAAATTACGGCAGGTCACCAGAGTATGGGTGTCCCTGAGCCCCCCACTTTGGGTCCTAGAGACATCCCTGAGGGCCAAGCTTGTTTGTTTTAGTGATGAAGTTTATAGGCAACTCATGACTAAAGACTGTATAAATGAAATTTATATGTGACTGTAAGTCACACAGAGCTTTACATATTAACTAGAGACAATGATCAGTGAATAAATAGAAATAAAAAAATCTATAGAGCAACAACATAAATTAATCATTAATCTTTGTATAATCATGTATTTTAGCATATGAATGGTCAAATCTGGATTTAAAAGTACCTAGAAATCTAAACAATCTCCAAAAAGAAAATAAAATATTCTGTGAAACCATCTATGAGAAATGACTTTGTGTGACTTCTGAAGAAAAAGTTATAGTAAAAGTGAGCTGAATTAAAAACTAATTCTTTTTTTTTTTAATTAAAGTATCACTGATACAGAATCTTACAAAGGTTTCACATGAGCAACATTGTGGTTACTACATTCCCCCCATCATCAAGTCCCCCCGACATACCCCATTACAGTCACTGTCCATCGGCATAGTAAGATGCTATAGAGTCACTATTTGTCTTCTCTGTGCTATACTTCCTTCCCCATGCCCCCCTACATTTATGTGTGCTAATCATAATACTCCTGAATTCCCTTCTCACTCCCTTCCCACCCGCCCTGCCCACCCTCTTTCCCTTTGGTAACTGTTAGTCCCTCTTGGGGTCTGTGAGTCTGCTGCTGTTTTGTTCCTTTAGTTTTACGTTGTTGTTATACTCCACAAATGAGTGAAATCATTTGGTACTTGTCTTTCTCCACCTGGCTTATTTCACTGAGCATAATACCCTCTAGCTCCATCCATGTTGTTGCAAATGGTAGGATTTGTAAAAACTAATTCTTAAAAATATATATGGTTCTTCAGAAGGTCTAAGACTGAATCTTATAAATCAATGTCTTATTAAAATTCAAAGACCATGAGTGATCAAACATTTTTGTAATTTTCCAGGGAATGGAGGAGGTAATAACTGTCTGCCATCTTCTACAAACTAGGGCTGGTGGGTTAGGGCTTCAGGATGATGTGTCCAGCATTCTCTGGAGAAATCTTTCCATGCTGATAAAGAAAAAGGTTAAGAGGCTTATAATGTCTGGATGACACAATGTCACTACACCTAATTTTCTTCCTCTATTAGAACTAACATAAAAGTAGATAATTTGTTCCTCTTCTTTATTAAAGCAATAAAAATATTTCATATTTTATGACAAAGAAACAAATACTGGAAATACTTCTTTATTTAAAGATATACTAAAGATCTTCAAATATTACAAAAAATGCCTAGTGTGTTGCAGCATTATTCACCATAGCTAAAAGGGAGAAACAACCGAAATATCTGTTGACAGATGAATGGATAAACAGAAGGTGGTATACCTATACAATGGAATATTATTTAGCTACAAAAAATAGTGAAGTCCTGACATATGATGCAACATGGATGAGCCTTAAAAACATTCTGCAATGTGAAATAAACCAGACACAAAAGGACAAATACTGTATAATCACACTTACATAGCATGTCTAGATTAGACAAATTCATACAGACAAAAAGTACAATACAGGTTACCAGGAGCTGTGGGGGAGGAGGAATGGGGAATTATGGTCACAGAGTATCTGTTTGAGGTGATGAAAAAGCTTTTGAAATAGACAGTTGTGATAGGTGTACAACATTGGGAATGTGATAATGCTATGGGATTGTGTATTTTAAAGTGGTTTAAATGGCAACTTTTATAGTAAATATATTTTAACACATGGAGATTTAAAAATGCCCAATGTTCTAAAAGTAAACTCTAAAAGACTCAAAGACCTGAATGTAAGTCACGAAACCATAAAACTCTTAGAAGGAAACCTAGGCAAAAATTTCTTGAATATAAACATGAGCAACTTTTTCCTGAACACATCTCCTCAGGGAAGGGAAACAAAATAAAAAATGAACAAGTGGGACCATATCAAACTAAGAAGCTGCTGTATGGCAAAAGACACCATCAACAGAACAAAAAGGCATCCTACAGTATGGGAGGATATATTTATAAGCAACATATCCAACAAGGGGTTAACATCCAAAATATATAAAGAACTCACATGCCTCAACACCCAAAAAGCAAATAACCAGATTAAAAAATGGGTGGAGGATATGAAGAGCCAATTCTCCAAAGAAGAAACTCAGATGGCCATCAGACACATGCAAAGATGCTCCACATCACTAATCATCAGGGAAATGCAAATTAAAACCACAATGAGATATCACCTCATGCCGGTTAGGATGGCCAGAATCGAAAAGATGAAGAACAACAAAGGCGGGTGAGGATGTGGATAAAGTGGAACCCTCCTACACTACTGGTTAGAATGCAAGCTAGTTCAAACATTGTGGAGAGCAATATGGAGGTTCCTCTAAAAACTAAAAATAGAAATACCATTTGACTAGGGAATCCCACTCCTAGGAATTTACCCAAAGAATACAAGTTCTGGAGGATTTTCTCAAGATGGTGGTGTGAGTAGGGTGGTGGAAATGACCTCTCAAAACCATATATATTTTGAAAATACAGCAAATACAACTATTCCCAAAAGACCAGAAGATACACTACACCAGCCAAGCTACATCTATGTCTGCGAGAACTCAGCATCTCACAAAAAGGGTAAGATACAAAGCCGTGACCCAATGGGATCTGAACACTACCCCGACCCCAGCTCACTGGTGGGAGAAAAAGAATCAGAGTGGGGAGGGAGTGGAAGCACAGGACTGTTAAATAACCAGCCCTAGTAATCTGCACCAGGAGCACAGACACACATTGCATGGTGTACTGGATATTAGAGAAACGGAAAAGCAAAATCTGAGACTGAGACTGCGAGTGGGTCCCCACAGCCGGCTCCCATGGGACAAAAGAAAAGTGGGCACTTTAAAAGTCTTAATGGGACAAGGGTTTAACAGGTGGACAAAATCGTCCCAGCACACTCAGCCCAGCAGGCTGGGAATCTTAAGGAACTTCAGGTGCCCTAACGCCCTTGGTCGCAATGCAGCTCCAAAGCCCCACATGGTGATAAGCAGCCTGCTATTCATTCCCCCCCCCCGCTAGCACTGCAACCAAACTGGCCATTGCTGCAGACAAGCTGGGGAGCAGTCTCACCCAGACCAACCACACAGTCTTCTCCCAGCATGCAGCTAACCAGACCAGACCCAGCGGCTGCACTCTGTGTGCAGCTGCCCAGCACAAGCAGAGGAAGCCAGTGCAGAGTCTGGAAGGCATGAAGGGGCACCACTCTCACAGGAGTATACACACTGCTTCTTTGAGAGCCCTGCCTGTGCCCTAGGCTATCCTGAGGACCACACAGCCTATGGAAGTGCAGGGGATTAATCCAGAGACTGCTCTGTGTGTGCAGGTAACCAGCATAGGCAGTGGGGAAGGGCAAAGTGACCAGCAAGCAAGAGAGGAATTTGTTCTCCCAGCTGACACACGCACCACTTGCCAATAATTGTTTCTATCCCCATGAAAAGGCAGAAGAACCTGGTCCAGTCCAAAATCATTCAAATGCCAGAGAGAGGGCCTGGCAAGATTGATATAACCAATCTACCTGAAAAAGAATCCAAAATAAAAGTCATAACCATGCTGATGGAACTACAGGGAAATATGCAAGAGCTAAGGGATGAAGTCCGGAGGGAGATAACAGAAATGAAATAAACAATGGAAGGACTTAAGAGCAGACTGGATGAGGTACAAGAGACTGTTAATGGAATAGAAATCAGAGAACAGGAATACAGAGCAGCTGAGGCACAGAGGGATAAAAGGATCTCTGGGAATGAAAGAATATTAAGAGAACTATGTGACCAATCCTAATGAAACAATATTTGCATTATAGGGGTAACAGAAGAAAAAGAGAGAAAAAGAGATGGAAAGTGTCCTTGAAGAAATAATTGCTGAAAACTTCCCCAAGCTGGGGAAGGAAATAAGTCTCTCAGATATGGAAGCCGACAGATCTCCCAACACAAACGACTCAAGGAGGACAACACCAAGACATATAATAATTAAAACAGCAAACATCAAAGACAAGGACAGGGTATTAAAGGCAGCCAGCCAGAGAAAAATGATCACCTATGAAGGAAAACCCATCAGGCTATCATCAGACATCTCAGGAGAAACCTTACAGGTTAGAAGAGAATGGCATGATATATTTAATGCAATGAAACAGGAGGGCCTTGAACCAAGAATTCTGTATCCATCATGATTATTATTTAAATATGAAGGAGGGATTAAACAATTTCCAGATAAACAAAAGTTGAGGGAAAGTGCCTCCCACAAACCACCTCTACAGGGTATTTTAAAGGGACTGCCCTGGATGCAAGTACCTCTAAGGCTAAACAGATGTCACCAGAGCAAATAAAATCACAGCAAAGAAAGCAGACCAACCAAACACTAACTAAAGGCAAAAAATAAAATCAGCTATTCACAAAAGCAGTCAAGGAAAACACAAAAGAGTACATAATAAAACACCTAACATATGAAGAGTGGAGAAGGAAGAATAAGAAGGGAGAGAAATAAAGAATCATCATACTGTGTTTATAATAGCATAATAAGTGAGATAAAGTTAGACAGTTAGATAATAAGGAAGCTACCCTTGAAACTTTGGTAACCACGAATCTAAAGCCTGCAATGGCAATAAGTACATATCTTTCAATAATCACCCTAAATATAAATGGACTGAATGCACCAATCAAAAGACACAGAGTAATAGAATGGATATCATCTATATGCTGACAACAAGAGACTCACCTCAAAAACAAAGACATACACAAACTAAAAGGGAAGGCATGGAAAAAGATATTTCATGCAAGCAATAGGGAGAAAAAAGCAGGTGTTGCAGTACTTGTATCAGACAAAATAGACTTCAAAACAAAGAAAGTCACAAGAGATGAAGAAGGACATTACATAA